AACTATTGCCAATATTTTAATTGGATTATTTGTCTTTTTTATTGTTGACATATATTCTGGGTATAAATTCTTTATTGGATATATAATTTTTAAGCATTTCTTTCTAGTATGTGGCTTGCCTATTAATTTTCCTTTTTTTTTTTTTAGGCTTTGATTTAGAGTCTCACTTTGTCACCCTTGGTAGAGTGCCATAATGTCTTAGCTCACAGCAACCTCAAACTCTTGGGCTCAAGCAATTCTCTTGTCTGAGGCTTCCAAGTAGCTGGGACTACAGGTGCCTGCCACAACACCCAGCTATTTTTTAGAGATGGGGTTTTGCTCTTGCTCAGACTGGTCTCAAACTCATGAGCTCAAGCAATCCACCTGCCTTGGCCTCCCAGATTGCTGGGATTACAGGCCAGGCATAAGTGACTTCACCAGGCCTATTCATTTTCTTAATGATCTCTTTTGATAAACAAACGTTTCAAATTCCAGCAAAATACAATTTATCGATATGTCAATTTCTGGTTTTTAAAAAGCTACTGGGATTATATTGGGATTACATTGAATCTGTAGATCCAGTTGAAGTTATTTGGCATCTTAATAATGTTGCATTTTTCAATTTTGTGTTTTAGGTCTTAATTCATTTCCCTTAGTAATATTTTGCAGTTTTTAGCCTTGCACATCATTTGTTAAATTTTTTTTTTTTTGCAGTTTTTGGCCGGGGCTGGGTTTGAACCCACCACCTCTGGCATATGGGGCTGGCACCCTATTCCTTTGACCCACAGGTGCCACCCCCTTTGTTAATTTTTTATTTGGATGTATTTTATATTATTTGACTCTAGGAGAAAACATTTATAGTGGTAGCAAAAATTAATACTAAGCAATAGTAAATTACCACTTGAAAAGCATGTATATATTCTGCAGCTATTGGGTATAGTGATCTATACATGCAATTAGACCTGGATGATTAATAGCTGTATTAGTAGCCCAAAGCAGCACAGAATGGGTATCCTAAATGACAGAAATTTATTTTCTCATAATTTTAGAGGCCAGAATCCAAGATAAAGGTATGAGTAGGGTTGTTTTCATTCTCACAGTCTTCCTTCTGTGCCTCTCTGTGTCCTAGCTCCTCTTACAAGGACACCAGTGACATAACATTGGGGCCCATGCTCATGCCCTCTATAATTTAGTTACTTCTGAAAAAATCCTATCTCAAGGACAGTCACATTCTGAGGTACTACGGATTAAGGGCTTCAACATACAAATTGGGGGGGGCCATAATTCAGCCCATTGCTTTTATAATGTTGTGCACATTAGGAATCTAGGTGTGCAGCTGTGTATACAGCAACATCTGGAAGTATACAGGTGTGTGTGCAGGGTGTAGGGGGTGTCTCTTTGATATAATAAGAAATACATATTTTTACAGGGTACATTGGATATTTACTTTTCCATTCTTGTGATACTTTACTGAGAAGAATGTGTTTCAACTCCATCTAGGTTAATATAAAAGATGAGATACAACAATACACCATCTTTTTAACGGCTGAATAGTATTCCATGGTATACATATACCACAGTTTGTTAATCCAGTCCTGAGTTGATAGACATTTAGGCTGTTTCCATGTCTTGGCAATTGTAAATTGAGCTGCAATAAACAATCTTGCGCCCACGTCCTTATGATAGAATGATTTTTTTTCTTCTGGGTAGATGCCTAGTAGTAGGACGGCAGGATCAAATAGGAGATTAAATTTGAGGTCTTTGAGGATTCTCCATACTTCTTTCCAAAGAGGCTGTATTCGTTTGCAGTCAATAGTAATATGAAGCCAGTAGATGATCTAATTCACAGCCACATAGGAGAAAAACTCATTTCAAATCAAGTTGGGGTGAGGGGGCCAAAGGAATGGAAAGAAGGGAGGGGGGTTTGGGGTGTTCTCACTGAATGGGCATAATTTAGGGGTGTATGGCACACCTTTTGGGTATAGGACATAGCTATAAGAGGGACTCTACCTAACAAATTTAAATATTGGTATTTCACATTAATGCTGAAATTAAAAAAAATAAATACATATAGTCATGCATCATTTAACAGTGCTAACATTTGAGAAACACATCGCTAGGTGATTTCATCATTGCATGAGGGCATGTACACACACCTAGATGGAACAGCCTACTATGCACTATGCTGTACAGTAGGGCCCACTGCTCCTGGGCTGCAAACCCCTACATACAGCGTCTCACTGTACTGAATACTCCAGGTAACTGTAGTACAATAGTGTTTATGTGTCCAAACATTGGGAAAAGGTACAGCAGAAATCCAGTTATATAAAAGATAAAAAGTGGTACACCTATAGGGCACTTGCCATGAATGGAGCTTGCAGGACTGGAAGTTGATCTGGGTGAGTGAGTGAGTGGTGAGTGGGTGTGAAGGCCTAGGACATCACTGCACACCTCTGTGGACTTTGTCAACACTGTGCACTTACACTACACTGAATTTATTTTAAAAATAAAGTAATTGTGCTATGACATTATGACAAGTCTGACATCGCTAGGCAATAGGAATTTTCTAGCTCCATCCATTGTAATCTTATATGACCACTGTCATATACACAGCCCAGCATTGGTTGAAATGTCATTATTCCATCCATGTACAACTGTATTTGGTCTTTGTCCCTGGTTCCTGGCACACAGCTCCTAAAACCCTTGGAGTGATGGTGTGTCTTTTGTTATTCCTAATAAGCCACTTTCAACAATATCTGAGTTTATGCTAATGAGGTGATGCCTAGAGGATGGGGGCAGGTTGTCAGAGGAACTAACCAGGTGATTAGAGGGTTGGAACTTTGACCCCAAGCTGGACCTCCAGGGAGGGGAGAAGGGCTTGGGATGAAGTTCAGTCACTAACGACCATTAATCAATCATGCCTGTGTAATGGACCCTCTATAAACCCCCCAAACCATGGGGCTCAGAGAACTTACAAGTTGCTTTACACATTGAGGTGCTGGGCCTGTGGTGCGTGTGAAGGGTGAGGGCACAATCTGTGCCCCTTCTCAGTGCTTTCCCCATGTGTCTCTGGCATCAGGCTGTTCTGATGGAAGTTATATTCTTTCTGACAAACCAGTAATCTAGTAAGTAAACTATTTTCCTGAGTTCTGTGAGCCATTCTAGCAAATGACCTGAAGATAGGGTCATGGGAACCATTGATATAGGTTGGACTCTCACCTATAATGCTAGTACTTTGGGAGGCCAAGGTCAGAGGATCACTTGAGGCCAGGAGTTTGAGACCAGCCTGGGCAACATAGCAAGACCCTATCTCTGGAAAAAAACAATTTTTTTTAAATTACCTGGGTGTAGTAGTGTTTAGTACCATCTATTCAGGAGGCCAAGGTAGGAGGATCCCTTGAACTCAGGAGTTCAGATTTACAGTGAACTATGACCCTGTATTCCAGCCTGGGTGGCAGAGTGAGACCCTATCTCAAAAGCAAAGAAGTACAGATGACAACCTGGGACTTGTGCCCCAAGTGGGGGGCAATCTTGTGGAACTGAGCCCTTAACCGTAAGTCTGTGACAGTTCCGGACAGTTAGTGTCAGAACTGAGTTACATTCATCAAAAGCCCAGACTTTACCACTATACATTATTTGCCTGTAACAAAATTCAACTTATACCTTCTAAATCTGTTAAAATAAAAATAAAACAACAGTATCTGCCAAGAACAGGAAATTGCTGGATGTGGAAGACCCACAGGTCTGGTATGGGAAGTTGGAGGGCAGGGGAGACAGGGTTTCCTTTCACTTCTCAAGGGCACGCTCTGCCTCTGCACTTTGGTAACCCAAGAGCTCATCCCTCCTTTTCTGACCAGCTGAACCACTTCAGTGTGCTTCCCAGAAATACCTGAGGCATGGCAGGCCCGACCCAGACCAGCGGACCAGTCTCAGGTTATCTGGGTTGACTTGTCTACACTAGCAGAGACCAGCTTTACTCTGCCAGCATCAACCCAAATCAAGAACACAAGACAGTCAGGGG